AAAAAAAAAAAAAAAATTATTCAAGAAGAAATAAAAACATTTGAAGTACCAGTGGCTCACACTTGTAATCTAGTTACTCAGGAGGCTGAGATCTGAGGATCATGGTCTGAAGCCAGCCCAGGCAAGAAAGTCCATGAGACTCTTATCTCCAATAAACTGCCAGAAAAAGAAGTGATGCTGTGGCTCAAGTAGTAAAGCACTGGCCTTGAGCAGAAGAAGCTCAGAGTGCTGAGGCCCAGAGTTTAAGCCCTAGAACTGGCAAAAAAAAAAAAAAAAGAATACAAGTGTCTCACTATGCAGAGGGGCTAGTTCCAAGACTGGATGCTATATCCACCACTTTCTTGGTGTACCCAAATTCACAGAGGCTCAAGTCCCTTACATGCAGTGACAAGGAACTAACGGATTATTTCTACTTTACCTGTAATACCTATCATAATGTAAATGCTAAGATAGCAGGTGTTATGCGATATTGTTTAGGGAATAATGATAAGAAAAAAAGTGGGACAAAAATCCCTATGAGCCCTGGGGCTGGTGGTTCATGTCTGTCATCCTAGCTACTCAGGAGGCTGGGATCTGAGGATCATAGTTCAAAGCCAGCCTAGGCAGGACAGTCTGTGAGACCCTCATCTCCAGTTAACCAGAAGTAGCTCTTCAAAGTGGTAGAGCACTAGCCTTGAGCAAAAAAGCTCAGGCAGCACCCAGACCCTGAGTTCAAGCCTCATAACCAACAACAATAAAAAAAAAACAGGGTCGCACCAGTGGCTCCCATCTGTAATCCTAGCTACTCAGAAGACAGATTTGAGGATGGAGTTTCAAAGCTAGCCTGGGCAGAAAAGCCTGTGAGACTCATCTCCAATCAACAAATAAAAAGCTAAAAATGAGGAGTAGTTTAAGTGGTAGAGCACTAGCCTTGAGCAACAGAGCTCAGGACCTGCATTCAATCTCCAGTATTAGCACAAGCCTCTCAGATTCAGGTAGCTTCACTGTTGACAGCTATAAAATATCTTTATGTGGGACTGGGAAGGTAGCTCAGTGGTAGAGCACTTGCCTTGCATGCATAAGGCCCTGGGTTCAATTCCTCAGCACCACATAAGCAAAAAGAAAAAAGCCGGAAGTGGCACTGTGGCTCAAGTGGCAGAGCACTAGCCTTGAGCTGAAGAGCTGAGGGACAGCACGTAGGTCCAGAGTTTAGGCCCCACGACCAGACCCCCCCCCAAAAAAAAATACCTTTGTGTGGTGGCGGGGCACGCACGTGCCAGTCCTGGGGCTTGAACTTGGGGCCTAGGCACTAATCTTGAGCTGCTTTTGTTCAAGGTTAGCAATTGAGCCACAGCACCACTTCTGGCTCTGACTGAGCATTTTGTTACAGATCAGAGTTTCACGGCCTTTCCTGCCCAGACTGGCTTTGAACCACGATCCTCAAAAGCTCAGCCTCCTGAATTGTTAGGATTACAGGTTTGAGCCCCTGGTACCTGGTTTAAAAATACCTTTTCTAGTGTGTTCAAAGGTTTTGTTCTGTTAATTCAGTACCTGCCTTTGAAGTAAGACCGCACTGCTGAGGTTGCTGTTGCCAACTCTGGTGTTCTCTTCTGCCCTCTAGTGGAGCACATGATCCAGAAGAACCAGTGTCTCTTCACCAACACACAGTGTAAGGTCTGCTGCGCCATGCTGATCTCCGAGTCCCAGAAGCTGGCACACTACCAGGTATGCCTTGCTGCCTTCGGCACTACCGTACCGCTCAGACCCCGTACCAGCCTGTACTGCTCCCTGGCTTGCACGGTGACACCAGCAGACCCTGCCTTCATGCATGTTGGCTTGTGCCTTGAACAAAGTTGGCTTAATCTCTCTCCCATCTCCCATCCAAATCAGAATCATCACTATGCGTATCTCCGCCCACAGCTCGGTACACAAGGACGTATGAGCTTTAGTTTTAAATAGACCTCAGTTTGAATCACAATTCTGCTCTTCCTTGTGGGCAGGAAACGTCACCATCTTCAGACTCGGTTTGCTCACATATAAGGAGAGAATGGTTGTTTTCTCGTCAGTGGTTGTGAAGATTCAGTTTAGTAACAAGTAAAGCACCTTGCAGAGTAGAAACTCAGTACTGTGCTTTCTCCTTTACCTTTTCCTCCTCAAAAGTTTTTGTGAGGATGAGTCTAGTGTTTAGGGTTTGGGTTTTTTTTTGTCAGTTGTGGGTCTTCAACTCTGGGCCTGGGTGCTGTCCCTCAGCTCTTCAGCTCAAGGCAAGCAAGCGCTCTATCATGTGAGCCACAGCGCCACTTGCAGTTTTCTGAGCGGTTTATTGGAGATAAGAGTCTCAAAGACTTTCCTGTCCAGGCTGGCGTTGAACCACGATCCTCAGATCTCAGCCTCCTGAGTAGCTAGGATTACAGGCATGAACCACTGGCGCCCAGCTGAATCTAGTGTTTTTAAGAGCTAAAGTAAGCTCATGGTAGAGCACTTGCCTGAAATACCTAAGGCCCTGGGTTCGATCCCTAACACCAGGAGGGGAAAAAAAAAATCTAGCATCTCTGAGTGCATTTGGGGGCTAAGGGTGTAGCTCAAGTGATAGAGCACTTGCCTAGCAAACACCAAACCAAACCTTGATTCAAGCCTAGTACCACAAAGAAGAAGAAGGAATGGCATTTGGCTATCTTTGATCTTTTTCCTGGGTTCTTGCAGAGCAAAAAACATGCCAACAAAGTGAAGAGATACCTAGCAATCCATGGAATGGAGACATTAAAAGGGGAAACGAAGAGGCTAGACTCAGATCAGGTAATACGGCCACGTTGAGACCGCTCGCTTCCTGGTGAACCCGGCACACAGGTTGGTGTGGCGAGAGAACGTGGGCGCCCAGTCAGACTGCAGCTCCTGCCTTGCTGTGTAACTTGAGCAGATCATACTACTCCTCTGAGCTAGCTCCCTTTTCAAGGCCTATGCTTACTAAAAATGAGAGGTTTACACGAAAGCACCGGACAGAGCCTGGCACTCGGTTTTGGGAACTCTAGTAAATGATGCATTGTTAGACATTCCCACCCAGTGGTTTGTTGGAACTGGATGAGGAGCTGCCCAAGAGAAAGTAGGAGAAGCTGCCTGCCTCCTTCTTGAGAGCCCTGGAAAAAAGAACTTTCAGCACCCGAATATTTTGACTAGGCAAAGAAAGCAAATGCCCCCTCTCATTGAGAGATAATGGCAGTAAATATATGTCCCTTTGGTGTCTATGAGACGATCGCCAATTAACTACCAAAAAATCCAGGAGTGGAGCAGTGGCTCAGGTGATAGAATCCTAGCCTTAAGTGAAAAAGCTAAGGGACAGCACCCAGTCTCTGAGTTCAGGCCCCAGTACAGGCATTAGAGATAGATGGATGGACAGACAGACAGACAGACATGATTCCTACCTCTTAAGGTATTGTGAAGTAAAATTCCAGTTCCCAGTCCATGCTCTATATATAAGAGTGTACTCCACAAGCTGTTGGTTCCTTTTGTACTGTTGCATAGAAAAGCTGTTCCTGTCCCTTTTAGAAGTTTACTGGACTCATCCCTCGCTACTCTTAGTATGACGTAGCAATCAGGGACACAGAAGCAACACTACAGTACTCTGAAGTCACCTCTCCTTCTTGTACGTCAGTTCCTTCAGCTCTTGGGGTGGCTAAGTAGCTCCACTCAGATCACAGCACCAGCCACCTACTAAAAACCGCCAGGCCCAGAATGTCAAAAGCGCCCAAGCCAGCCAGGTGCCACTGGTGCACACCTGTAATCCCAGCTACTCAGGAGACTGAGATCTGAAGACTGCAGTTTGAAGCCAGTTTTGAAAAAACCAAAAACCTTCCGTGTCTACCGCATGGCCAGCTCCCGAGGGCAGGAGGGCTGGGAAACAGATGAGCTAAACAGTGCACATCCAAACCTGCACTGGCGCTCCCAGCCCGCACTGCGAGATACTGTTTATAGTAACAGTAGGTATGCCTGAGGTCGGGGAGGAGTACCAGATTAACTCTTCCCAGAATACAGAAAGGGGCTTGATAATTCTTTGCTGAATTAATTTTTTTTTTTCAAATAAGAGTTTCCCAGCTAGGTGCTGGTAGCTCCCGCCTGTCATCCTAGCTACTCAGGAGGCTGAGATCTGAGGATCATAGTTCGAAGCCAGCCAGGGCAGGAAAGTCCTGAGACTCTCATCTCCAATGAACCACCAGAAAACTAGAAGTAGAGCTGTGGCTTAAAGTGGTAGAGCACTAACTCTGAGGGGGGAAAAGCTCAGGGACAGCACCTAGGCCCTGAGTTCAAAGCCCCATGACCAACAGTAAAAGAAAAAAAAAAGTTTCCCAGATGAACAGCTCATAGTTAAACTGGGCCTTCAAAGATTAAGTGGACATAATGCTAGGCAGGAAAGGAAGGCAGAACCTTCTAGAATGAACCAAGAAAAGCAAGGAAGATGATAGGTAGTAGCGGGAGTATGAAGTAGATCGTGGCAGAAAGTAGCTAGAGAAAAATGCAGAAAGGTAGGTTGGGGGTTATAACGTGTACAGGGGTTTCAGATGCCCATTAGGCTCTGGGCAGCGGGGGAATCATTGAAGACTTTCCGGCCAGCCGTGGCATGACCAGACCTGTGTTCTCTCTCCCAACCAGAAGAGCAGCAGAAGCAAAGACAAGAACCAGTGCTGCCCCATCTGTAACATGACCTTTTCCTCCCCTGTTGTGGCCCAGTCGCACTACCTGGGGAAGACCCACGCAAAGAACTTAAAGCTGAAGCAGCAATCCACTAAGGTGGAAGGTACTGGTTTTCCTGAGTAGTGCTCTATTGGGACCCCTCCTGTCCTCAGGGCTGTGCTGCCATAGCTCCCCAAGATGTCACTGGGGCCACACATGTGGAGAGGTAGAGCCCGTTACAAGTATCTTGAGTAGGCTGGGCACCGGTGGCTCGCGCCTGGAACCCTAGCTACTCAGGAGGCTGAGATCTGAGGATCAAAGCCAGCCCAGGCAGGAAATCCAGGAGACTCTTAGCTCCAGTTAACCACCAGAAAACCGGAAGTGGAGCTGTGGCTCAAGGGAGAGAGCTACAGCCTTGAGTGAAAAAGGCTGAGGGACAGCGCCCAGGCCCCAAGTTCAAGCCCCTGGGCCAGCACCTTGGAAATGTGGCCTCAAAGTTGTCCCCCCCCCTCCCTTCCCTTCAGTTTTTCTCACTAAAATCTTCCGCCCTTGAGCTCTTATCCCGACCAGTAATTAGAACACAGGAATGCCAGAGTCCTCCCGCCTGCGCTCGCTGTGGGCATCCATCCATTCTCCCTCTCCTGCCTCGTGTTTCCCTCCCGCCAGCCACCTGCTCTTATTAGTGTGTGTTCCAAGTTGAAAGCGAAATCCCTGTCCTTTGCCCAGGCTCAGGTTATGTCCTGCTCGCTTTAATCCTCAAAAAGCTGCCTGTTCTCAAGACAGGGACTTGACTTTCAAAGCAGAATTACTTGAGTGGCGCTTGGAGTGCCCAGCCAGCTGCTTGCAGCTGCCCGAGTTCACGCTCGGCGCGGTGGCTGCTTTATCTCTCCACCGCCCAGCCCAGCCCTCGCTTTCATCCGCCTCACTCCTGCCTTGCTGGGGTTGTTAACCTCCGCTCACCACAATTAGTCAAGACTGCAGGTTCTTTGATCTTCAGTTCCCTTTTTTAATTTTTTTTTTCCCCCTTGGTGATTTTTTTTTTTTTGCTTCTCCATTTTAGACCAAGAAGTAGACTACACAGTTTGTAGTCCTTCTGATCCTTCTGTGTTACCGTATTTCAAAAACAAGACAGCCCTATTTTAGAAGACTTTGAAGATAGGGTAGAAAATCTATTCATAATTACATCCTCACTTAGCACACCCAAATGTAGTTATTCATACTCTGAAACAATCAGACAGAGACTTTGAAGTCACTGTGGACCAGACTTCAGTCCTGATCCTGTTATTTACCATTTGTATGACTTTCGTGTCTGAGTTTCCTGTAAAATGTTAATTTTAATTTTACTGTTAATCTGTAGATGGTGAGGCTACCATAATTATTAAACACCCAGGGCATAATAGATACTCACTAAATGGCAGGCATTATTATTGCCATTATTTATTGTGATTATTCACATTATTGTCACCATTAAATTAGCGAGTGGAGTTCCCTCAAATGGCAATCATTGACCACCACCTACAGCACGTCCATTAGTCTTGCTTATGATCAAGTCATCGTTAACTTAGACGAGTACTGAATGACTTTGTTTCAAGTCAGCATTGGTACCAACCCCGTACCATAATGCTTAAGTAAAAAGCCAAGGGAAATTAGCTTAAGGATTGGACTTTGTTAGGCCTTAGGCTTGTCTTTCCACAACTGAGGAAATTCTCGAACATATCCGATCCTAAAACTTCCATACTAAACAGAGTATTCTCCATAATTGCTTTCAACCTTTGCTACATACAGCTATGTGTTTATATATTTACATAGCTGTTTTCATGGTGCACTCAGAACCCCTCACCCTGCTTTTGCTTTTATTGGATATTTCATGGCATGAAATGCCATGCCATGTTATTTCACAAGTTTATAACTGTTTCTGAAATTCAATGTGTCTAATTGAAAGTAATGTAGCATGTTATAGAAAATAAAGAGAAGAGCTGGGTGCTGGTGGCTTACGCCTGTAATCCCAGCTACTCAAGAGGCTGAGATCTGAGGACTGAAGTTCATAGACACCCTGAGCAAAAAAGTCTGTGAGACTCTTACCTCTAATTAACCACCAATAAACCAGAAGTGGTGCTGGGGCTCAAAGTAGTAGAGCACTAGCCTTGAGCTCAGAGACAGTGCCCAGGCCCCCAGTTGTAGGGCAAATATATAGAGAGAATATAAATAGATGGAAAGAAAAACTATCATAATTTTGTGATTCTAAGAGATCCATGAAAAATTGTTCCTCCTATAATCTTTTGTTATGTTTATGCATGTATATCTGTTTGTTTGTTCTACATATCTCTAAGTTGACTCTGTGTGTGTGTGTACATATAAATGTAGGATGTTAAATACTGTTTTTATAAAATAATACATTCATCATGAATAATTACACTTCAACGTATAAAAAAGAAAGCAAAATATCACCCAGATCCTACCATCAAGAGAAGTACTGTTAGTCAGGTACCAGTGGCTCACACCTAGCTACTCAGGAAGCTGAGATCTGAGGATCACAGTTGAGAGCCAGCCCAGGCAGGAAAGTCCATGAGACTCATATCTACAATTAACCATAAAAAGCCAGAAATGGAGTTGTGGCTCAAGTAGTAGAGCACTATAGCCTTGAGCACAAAAGCTCAGGGACAGCTCCTCGCCCTGAGTTCAAGCCTGAAGACTGGCAAAAAAAAAAAAAATAGAGAGAGAAAGAGAAGCATCGTTAATAGGGGGATGACATTTCAATATGCCAGGACATATGTACATACATATGTGTGTGTATGTAGATAGATAGATAGATAGATAGATGTATAGATTGCAGGGTCTATTAACTGTGGCATGGCCGTATTATATATACTATTACCTGTTACATATGTTTTATTTAATATGACACATTTACCCATGTTAGTGAAAACTTTTGTAAACAGGTTTAGTGACTACATGTATCATGCTACATGTAAGCATTCCTCTAGTGTTGAACCTTTCAGTCCTCCCCTTTTCTTGTATAATAAAGACTCCTATAGGTCACATCCCTAGAACATTCTTTCCATATTTCAGGGTATTTCTTGAGAGAAAAACAACAGTTCTGATTTTTTTGTGGATGTCCACTCCAGCTTCCCTTAACCATTCACCTCTGGTGCTTTCCTTCCGTATGTTTTAAAGAATGACCTTAGCTGGACTCACTCCTGTGATCCCAGCACGCCAAGGCAGTATATACATACATACATACATATATACATACATATATATACATACATACACATCATTATTTATCTCTCTGATGTCAAAAATCTGCCTTCAGGTCAAGTGCTGTAGCTCATGCTTATAATCCTAGCTACTCAAGACTTACCTCCAGCAGTAGCCTTGAGCAAAAGAGCTCAGGGACAACTCTCCAGGCCCTGAGTTCAAGCCCCGATACCAGCATTTTTTTTAATGTAGAAAAAAATCGTAAAATACCTTTTATTCTTTATGCCTTTGATCTTTTTTTCCATGTTTTTTAATGAGATTGAGGATATAAGAAACAACTTGCTTTATCCTTGCTCTTCCCCCCCCCCTTTTATACATTACGAACTAAATATTTTCTTGTAGAATATTCTACCCCATGTACTTTACTTTTGAAACTGGCTGAAGCAAAGATCAATGGCCAGGGACATTAAGACTTCTTTTCTTTTTTTTTTTTTTGTCGGTCGTGGGGCTTGAACTCTGGGCCTGGGCGCTGTCCCTCAGCTCTTCAGCTCAAGGCGAGCGCTCTACCACTTGAGCCACAGCGCCACTTCCAGTTTTCTGGTGGTTTATTGGAGATAGGAGTCTCAAGGTCTCTCCTGCCCGGGCTGGATTTGAACCGCGATCCTCAGATCTCAGCCTCCTGAGTAGCTAGGATGACAGGCGTGAGCCACCAGCGCCCGGCAAGGGACATTAAGATTTCTGTAAAGGAAAAACTGCGGGGAAAGCTAGCAGGTTCCAGGCAGCGGGTTCCAGCTAGCTGGTGAAACCCTCAAAATGTCCCCAGTGGAAGTAGTCTATAGGCGACAGAATATCTAAGCCATCCCATCCCTCTGGGAGTGCTTTGGAGCCCCTCCCCTCCTCCACCACCCATGGGGGCTCCAGGTCCCTCATTTCTATTAGTGTGGCTGTATTAACACCGCACCAGCCACATGGACTCCTTTACAAGTCATGTAATCCATGTAAGATGGCAGCGGCAGCAACATTCAGCATTGGGATCTGCACTTGCCCAGACTAGGCTCTAGCGGTCAGCTGACTCCCTGGAGTAGTCAGGTGTCCTCTGAAGGTGAACGCATGCGCCTTAGCCTTCCTGTCTGCTCCCCGCTGTTATTGAGCAAGTCATTGGACCTGTCTGGCCCTTGATTTTTCTCTGTCATATGCCAAAGCAATAACATACCTCATAGGAGTAGTTCTAAAGACCAGAGCAGGGTAAAATGTATGTACAAAGTGTGTCCCTGGGCTGGGACACACTGGCTCAGTGGTAGAGCGCTTGCCTAGCATGCATGAAGCCCCGGGTTCGATTCCTTAACTACCACATAAACAAGCTGGAAGTGGCACTGTGGCTCAAGTGGTAGAGTGCTAGCTTTGAGCAAAGGCAGCTCAGGGACAGTGGCCAGGCCCTGAGTTCAAGCCCCAAGACTGGCCCAAACAAATGTGTCCCTATAAATGGAATCTTAGCTTTTCCTCACTCTGCCTGCGATGTAGCCTAAAAGGCACATCCAATATGGCTGCCTGACCCTGCGTCTACACTAGTGCATCGGTCCCTGCTCTGTAACTGGGGCACTCTGCAGTCAGGAATATGATTCCCAACCTTGAGGCTGGGAAAGTGGCTCAGTGGTAGTGTGCTTGCCTCGCATGCATGAGGCCCTGGGTTCGATTCCTCAGCACCACTTAAGCAGAAAAGGCCAGAAGTGGCGGTGTGGCTCAAGTGGTAGAGCACTCGCCTTGAGCTGAAGAGCTGAGGGACAGCGCCCAGGCCCAGAGCTCAAGCCCCACTGTCTTTGAACTTTCAGGACAATCCTAAGGGTTGAAAAGACCACTAGCATGCATGCCTGGTCTGTTACAATTAAGCAACTCCATGGCTGGGGAACCAGGAAAGCAGGACCCCACCTAGAGTAGCCAACGCTGTTGAACGAGTTAGCTGCTCTCTGGATTCCCCCCGCCCCCTCTGTCCACTTTCCCCACTCACGCATCGTAGCGTGTGCCCGACAGTAGCAGGGCCTCATCTGCCTGTGTGATGAAGTAGCCATCCTGCTGTGTTCTTCAGTGTACTCAAAAGCCCGGTGCCTTCTGGGTCTTCATTGTTTGTTTGAACTCTCTCGCCACAGCTCTGTCGAAACGCCTTATAAATCCTTTACTTGTGGCCTCCACCTTAGCTTTGCACCAGAGTAGAGAGATGATAGACCCAGACAAGTTCTGCAGCCTCTGCCACGCGACCTTCAACGACCCCGCCATGGCTCAGCAACACTATGTGGGCAAGAAACACAGGAAGCAGGAGACCAAGCTCAAACTCATGGCACACTACGGGCGCCTGGCAGACCCTGCCGTCACCGACTTAACAGGTGAGGGGGCCCACACCCAGATTTTGAACTGCAAGGGTCGGGGAGAGTAATCCTTGGACCAGCCCAAGTGCATGCTTCTCCTTGGGTCTTCTAAAGTAGGATTTGCAGGAAGTGATGCTGTGGCTTCAAAGTGATAGAGCACTTGGGGCTGGGAAGGTGGCTCAGTGGTAGAGCGCTTGCCTCGCATGCATGAGGCCCTGGGTTCGATTCCTCAGCCCCACTTAAGCAGAAAAAGCTGGAAGTGGCACTGTGGCTCAAGTGGTAGAGCGCTCGCCTGGAGCTAAAGAGCTGAGGGACAGCACCCAGGCCCAGAGTTCAAGCCCCACAAGCAACAAAACTAGTAAAGTAGGATTTCACAAGCTCAGATGCCTAGAGAGACCAGGCAGGGAACTTCAATAAGCGAAAGCCGAGAAGGATTGCACACTTGGTTTGGGGTCCAGAAAAGCTGTCAGGGGAGGGAGAGGATCAGCCTGGTTCTGTGCAGACAGAGCCAGCACGCCAGGCTCTTGTCCTGGCTCCACTCACAGCCCAGCCATTTGGAAAAGGGCCACCTGGTCATCAGGACAGCCCTGGAGTGAGCCAGGCCGTCTTTGAGCCCCAAAAGGACAGATCGATTGATTTTCCTGACAGGTGTGTGCATGAATTACTGCTATGACAGGCCGGGCAGGTGGTTCACTGGGCCTGGGGGACAAGTACAGACCCAGAATTGCAGAGCATGGAGGCGTCTGGGATTCTAGGCAGCCACCTCTGCCCCCCCATGCCTCCCCACCCCTCACCCCCCAAGTTCTCAGGCCTGGAAAGCAGCCTGATGACGCCCTCTCCGGATTTGATGTGTTTCAGCCGGGAAAGGCTACCCCTGCAAGACGTGTAAGATAGTCCTGAACTCCATCGAACAGTACCAGGCTCACGTCAGCGGCTTCAAACACAAGAACCAGTGAGTAAGCAGCCTTTGAAACGGCCAGGGCCTGCGGCAGGAGCTTGGGGCTTCTGAGACAGAACAAAGCCGGGGGAGTTGCCCGTTTAAGAGGAATGCTGTGGCCTCTCTCAGTCAGCAGCTGAATCAGTTAGCAGGAAAAGTATCTCCTCTCTTTTTCCTCTTTGGACCTGCTGGGCCGAAGGTTTTAGTAGAGAAGCTTGGATGGTGTCCTTTGTGGCTTTCCTGGTCCCTAAGCAGTTTGACTCCAGAAAGCTGTTCCTTCCCTTGCCCCCTCCCCCCCATCTCACCTCCAGCTGGTCCTTGTAGAGGGACAAGCGCTCCCCCTACAGGCCGCTAACCAGATCAGGCCATATTCTTCCAGTTGCTGATCCACCACTGGGGAGAATGCCCCCCCCCAGGAGTCACCAGCCCCTCCCCCTCACCATCTTGTTCTGATGGAGACAGCCAGGTGGAGGGCCAGGTGAGCAGGAAGTCACATGTCAGGCAGATTCGCTGGGGTTATGTTTGCAACAGCCCTGGCGGATGTTATTCATTGAGCCAAGCGAAGGAAAGATGGTGAAAATACAGCGCATTGGAGTAAAAAATATCTTTGGCTCTGTCTACCCTGCCTGGGTTTGCTCCTCCCACACTGTCTGATCTTCTTCCTCCCTTGGAGGTATCTTTAGTTTGCAGAGCACTGGGGGCTGATTTTAAGTACAAATTTTAGCTAAGCCCCAGCAGCCCAGCCTGGCGCTCGCACAGTATTTTGGCATAACTCCCTTGCAACTTGGCTGGAGACAGTTTCGGTAGAAACCTAGAGCCAGCCAGAGTCCTGCCCGCAAACTACTCAGACTTGAAAATGCGGCTATTGGTCCTGTGTGGTAGTGCACACCTGTAATCTCCATACTGAAAAGGCTGAGAGAGGATCAGGAGTTTGAGGGCAGCTATAACAAGACCCTGACTCAAGTGACCAGTGACTTCTTTGAGCCTGTACTTGTGTAAGATAAAGCCCCAACCTGAGCTGGTGGCTCGCATTTGTAATCCTAGCTACTCAGGAAGCTTAAACTTGAAGGACTGAGGTTCAAAACTAGCCCGAGGGCTGGGACGGTGGCTCAGTGGTAGAGCGCTTGCCTTGCATGCGTGAGGCCCTGCGTTCGATTCCTCAGCACCACATAAGCAGAAAAAAGCCAGAAGTTGGCTCTGTGGCTCAAGTTGTAGAGTGCTGACCTTGAGCTGAGTAGCTGAGAGACAGCGCCCAGGCCCAGAGTTCAAGCCCCATGACCAACACCCCCTCCCACCCCCCCAAAATAAAGCAGGGTCCTCTAGTTACCTAGATTTAGAGCAAGAATTCCTACCCATTTGATTCCCAGCCCCATTCATTTCCTCTGCCTCCACCAAATGGAACTCACTGGCTACACCTTCCAGACTGCACAAGAGCCAGAGGGTTTATGAAGCTGGCCAGAGCCAGCAGGTTGCCTGTAAAGATCAATGTTCATTCTCTAGCCAGTATTTACTCAGCAGCAACAGGCCCTGTCTGGGGAGCCGAGGCTGCAGCAGGACCCCAGAGCAACATTACCCTGGGTCCTCCCTTCAAAAGTAAGAGCTCCAAGCCGGGCGCTGGTGGCTCACGCCTGTAATCCTAGCTACTCAGGAGGCTGAGATCTAAGGATCTCGGTTCAAATCCAGCCCAGGCAGGAGAGACCGTGAGACTCCTATCTCCAATAAACCACCAGAAAACCGGAAGTGGCGCTGTGGCTCAAGTGGTAGAGCGCTTGCCTTGAGCTGAAGAGCTGAGGGACAGCGCCCAGGCCCCGAGTTCAAGCCCCATGACCGACCAAAAAAAAGTAAGAGCTCCAGGGGCTGGGAAAGTGGCTTAGTGGTACAGTGTTTGCCTAGCATGCATGAAGTCCTGGGTTCAATTCCACATATACAGAAAAGGCTGGAAGTGGCGCTGTGGCTTAAGTGGTAGAGCGCTGGCCTTGAGCTGAAGAGCGGAGGGACAGCGCCCAGGCCCAGAGCTCAAGCCCCATGACTGACCAAAACAGAAAAACAAAAACGGGGTGATGGAGGATGAGCACCTAGCGGCGTGTCAGGTGCAGAAAGCATCTTGCTTCTTGTTCTAGCTTACTAGGAGGCCGCCATTACTGAGGCAGGCTGCCTTTGCAGGCCCGTGCTGAACCTGTGCTGTCTCCAATTACAGATCGCCAAAAACAGCCCCATTGCCCTTGGGCCAGATTCCAGCACAGAAGCAACACATCTCAAAGGACTCCCAAGACACCCTGGAAGCCTAGAGGTGTTTCTGCCCAGCCTCGGCCTGCCCCCTCCCGTGAGACCACCGGGAGCCAACTTCCTGCCACTGTGGCAGGCCCTGGAAAATGAGCAGGCAGAGCGCAAGGCAGAGCCGGGTGACGGGGAGCTTCTGATGGGTCCGCTCCTTGGTTTGGGCCCAGGAGGTCACAAGAGTAGAGGCCCGGGCGTTGAGAGGAAGGGCTGGGGGCGGCGTGGAGGCTGCCCTTCCCCTGCCCCTCTAAGCCACGTGTCTTGGGGCCCCCCCCAACACCTGTCTTTCCTTCTAGGCTGCTTTGGGGCCAGCCCCAGCAGCTACAGAGCTGTCCCCATGCACCAGGCCTGGCCTGTGGAGCCTTTGAGGTTTGGTGGGGCCGGCAGCAGCCGAGGAGAAGGGTTGTCACGCGTGCTCTTGGAGCTGGCGTGACATCCACCTGCCCGCCAACACACACCGGCCTTCCTGAGCCTTGCCTGGTGCAGGTTTCTGCCCCTAATAGCGGCTTCACCCCTGCAGCCTGTCCCTACAGTCCCTATGGTGCTAAGATCTGCAGCAGCCAGGGGGCCGGGGCGGGGGGCGGGGGTGGATAAGCGGGAGCCTCTGCCTGGAAGGTCACAGGGGGCTCCCACGAAGACCCTGCCTTCCTCCCCCAGAAGGGCCAAAACCCAGGCCTCCCCTTCTGCCACATGCCTGCTGGCCCAAGGGTTAACTGCTACCTGTCCACCCTCCTGGGCAGCAGCCTACCGGTCAGCTGCTGGGGTTGCTCCTCCACCCCACCAGCAGCCCCAGTGTCAGGGAGCCCCGGGAAGCCTGGGAGCTTGGGGTAGCCTCCCGCTTCCGCAGAGAGGAAGCGTGTTCCTCCCACCCCAAACCCCAGATTTCTCTGATCACCTCTGTGTTACGGCCTGGAACTTGGCTGAACATGGCGGGTTCCCCCCCCCCCCCCCCGTGGCTTTAGAGCGGAAATTGCAGGACATGCTGTGTGCGAGGCCTCTCCATTGGGTTAAAGAAGCCCCACCGCTGCCATGGCGGCCTCCACCCGATGCCCGTCCCCTCCCAGGACTGGGAGCCACCTGTGTGCGTGCATGGGTGTGAGTGTGTGTGTATGTGCGCGCGCGTGCATGCACACTCAGGCTCTGTTTCCTGGTCAGTGAATGGTCCAAATAAAGAATTTTCCGCGAGCCGGCCTGCAGTGCTGCAGCCTTGGAGCTTGGGACCCTGCACTGTGGGATCTGATTTATCTTTCATACCGCTCAGCCGCTCCTCCAGGGCTTAATGTAGGAGACAGGTGGACCTGGGAGGGTCTGTGTGTGTTTGAGGCATTCTGCTGGTGTGTGGCAGACCGCAGGGTACAAGGAGGAGACAGGAAGCCAAGACAAGGGCAGTGCCCCAAGGCCCTCCCTGCTTCCCTCCCCACAAGGGCTTTTTCTGCCTAGTCACCCACGGGACATAATCAGAGACCTGGTTGTTCTTGGAAGTGTCTTTTCCATGACCCAGAAGTAACCGGGAGCCAGGTGCTGGTGGTTTACACCTGTCATCCTAGCCACTCAGGAGGCTGAGGTCTGAGGATCACAGTTCAAAGCCAGCCTGGGCAGAAAAGTCCATGAGACTCCTATCTCCAGTTAGCCACCAGAAATGGAGCTGCGGTTCAAAGTGGTAGAGCCCTAGTCTGGAGCAAAAAAGCTTCAAGAACAGCACCCAGACCCTGAGTTCAAGCCCTACAACCAGCCAAAGTAAAAGCTCAGAGACAGTCCCCAGGCCCTGGAGTCCAAGCCCCAGGACTGAGGCGCACACACACAATGGAAGTGGAGCTGTGGCTCAAGCAACACACACATACAATGGAAGTGGAGCTGTGGCTCAGGCAACAAGAATCTTGAGCCAAAAAGTTACACAAAAGCTCAAGGCCCTGAGTTCAAGCTCCAGTACCAGCACACATACACACAAAACGGGGGGCTGGGAAGGTGGCTCAGTGGTAGAGTGCTTGCCTTGCATGCATGAGGCCCTGGGTTCGATTCCTCAGCACCACATAAGCAAAAAGAAAAAAACTGGAAGTGGCGCTGTGGCTCAAGTGGTAGAGCGCTAGCCTTGAGCTGAAGAGCTGAGGGACAGCGCCCAGGCCCAGAGTTCAAGCCCCACGACCAGACCCAAAAAAGAAAAAAAGGGGGGGAAAGAGTTAGGACCTCAGGAGCCCTTCGTCCAACCCTTGCTGTCAATGGTTCTAGAACATGACTCCACTCAGCCCAAGCGTGAGGTCTCAGCTTGCCATTCTCTGGAGTTTCGTACCAACCAGTATGCCAGAGTCTTCCTGGCATGATGGGGCTGTGCTGGTGACCAGGAAGAGACAGGAGGGGAAGGAATCAATGCAGTGAGGCTGGACTCAGCCCTGGGAGAAGAAAGGAATGGAACTGGAATCCTGCTCTCAGCCCAGACCTAGGTGCAAAAGGAAAGAATTACAGTCTCTTCCCTGCGCACAGTCACGCAGCAGCCATGAGGTACGAGATGAGGGGTCCCCGGTGGTAATGTGAACATTGCTGACAGCCTCGTGACCTACAGCCTTTATTCTCTTTTTCCTTTTTTTTTTTTTTTTTTTTTGGTGCCAGGCCTAGGTCTTGATCTTAGGGCCTAGGCACTACCCCTGAGGGTTTTTTTTTAACTTAAGGCTAGGGCTCTTACCACTTGTGCCACAGCTCTATTTCTGGCTTTTTGTGGCTGATTGGAGATAAGAGTGTCAGTGACTTTCCTGCTCTGGGCTGGCTTTGAACTGTGATCTTCAGAGCTCAGCCTCCTGAGTAGCTAGGATGGCAGGCGTGAGCCACCGGCACCCAGTAGTTTGAAGTCCTTTATTGTTGAAAATGAAGCTGGAGGAGACCCCAGTTTCTTCCCAAAAGTGGATTAAAGAAGAAAGTCCTTCCCAGGAACTGTTCCCACCCCACCCAGACCCACCAGTGCAGGGACTAGTATCAAAAATGGGGGGGCAGGGGGACTTTCCAGAGCCTGGCGCGGTGGCTCACGCCTGTCATCCTAGCTACTCAGGAGGCTGAGATCTGAGGATCGCAGTTCAAAGCCAGCCTGGGCAGGAAAGTCTTGTTAACTACCAAAAATCTGTAAGGGAAACTGTGGCTCAAGAGATAGAGTGTTAACCTTAATGGGATAAAGCTCAGAGACAGCACCCAGGATCTGAGTTCAAGCCCTAGTTACTACAATGTACACACGTACACATACGTGCACACACACACACACAGGGAAAAAAAGACCACCAGGCATCCAGCTCGCTGTTCACCCTGGGAGCAAAGCGCAATCCACCTGGTGGCCACTAGGTGGAGACGCCACTTGGTTGCCAGGCAAAATGGAGCAGCCTCAGGATTTTCCTATTTCCTATTGGATAAATGCCCAAAGCAAGAGGGGAACTTAATTCCTAAGGCCCTGCGTTTGATACTTCACTTGGCCCTCCAGGCAACAGCAAAGGGCCTGATTTCACGGGAGTAAACCTGGGGCAAAGTCTTAACCGGCTTTACAGAACCCGGGAGCCTCACAGAGATTTGATCCCAAACTCAGAATTCTTGGAATCCTCTGCTGCTTAAGGAAAGCTCTGTCAGAACCATCCTGGAGGGCTGTACATTCAGTTGGCCTGTCAGCAAACTCTATGCCCTTTTATTCTTTTCCTTTGAGGGACACAGACATTTTCTCTCTCTTCTTAAGCCCAGACAGCCCTTGGGAAACATGGGTCTTATTTTCTGGTTGCACAGAGCAAGCTGTAGTACTTACCTGGGAAATTAGGACCTTCCGTTTGGAGAGCTGGTTACTTGCATTTGAACTTGAAGCTTCAAACTCTCTCTTGGTTGTTTTTTCAATCCAGGCTGGTGCTGTACCATTTGAGTCACACCTCCACTTCCTGTGTTGTGTTGGTTGACTGGCAAGAAAAGTCTCAGGGATTTTTCTGTCCTGGCTGGCTTCAAACCATGATCCTCAGATCTGAGTCTCCTGAGCAGTTAGATCTACAGGCATGAGCCACTGGTGCTTGGGAACGTCTGCGTGTTAGCGCGTGCATGCGTGTGCATACATGCTCACGCACAAGTGCTGGTTCTGGGGCTTGAACTCAGGCCTGCGTGCTGAGCTTTTGTGCTCAAGGTGAGTGTTCTACCATTTGAGCCACAGCTCCACTTCCAGCTTTGTTTTTTCTGGTTATTTATTGGAGATAAGAATTTCTAGGACTTGGGGTTGGGAAGGTGGCTCAGTGGTAGAGCGCTTGCCTTGCATGCTCGAGGCCCCGGGTTCGATTCCTCAGCACCACATAAGAAAAAAGCCGGAAGTGGCGCTATGGCTCAAGTGGTAGGGCACGAGCCTTGAGCTGAAGAGCTGAGGGACAGCGCCCAGACCCAGAGTTCAGGCCCCACGACTGGACCCCAAAAAAAAAAAAGAATTTCTAGGACTTTCCTGCCTGAGCTAGCTTTAAACGGTGATCCTCAGATCTCAGCCTCTTGAGTAACCAGGATTACAAACATGAGCCTTTGTGCCCAGCTTTTATGTTGTTGGTGGTCCTGGGGCCTGAACTCTGGGCATGGGCGCTGTCTCTCAGCTTTTCAGCCTAAGGCTAGCTCTCTACCACTTGAGCCACAGCACCACTTCTGGCTTTTTCTGCTTATGTGATGCAGAGGAATCGAACCCAGGGCCTCATGCATGCAAGGCAAGCAAGCACTCTACTGAGCCACCTTCCCAGCCCAGCATAGTTGGCAAAGTATCCACCACTGAGCCACATACCCAACCACATACCTCTCCTAGTTAGAAAGGTCAAAGGAGCAGGTTGCAGCCAGTTACCAGTGGCTCACGCCTGTCAACCTAGCTACTCAGGAGACTGAGATCTGAGGATCAAGGTTCAAAGCCAGCCTGGGCAGGAAAGTCCGTGAGACTCTTATCTCCAATAAACCACTAGAAAACTGGAAGTGGCGCTGTGGCTCAAGTGGTAGAGCGTTCGCCTTTAATAATGAGCTCTGGTGAAGCACTGCATCTGTCTGGAAAGGACCTTCCATTCCTCAGCCCTCAGGGTCCAGCCTGGCCATAGGGCTGGCTTTGATCAGAGAAGGCAAAGACATGATACTGTGAGACTTCCAAGGCCAGGGCTGAAGAGTCTTGGCAGGGGGCTGGGAAGGTGGCTCAGTGGTAGAGTGCTTGCCTTGCATGCATGAGGCCCTGGGTTCGATTCCTCAGCACCACATAAGCAGAAAAAGCCAGAAGTGGCGCTGTGGCTCAAGTGGTAGAACACTAGCCTTGAGCTGAAGAGCTGA